TTTTAATTAACTAGTAACAAAGGGGGGTTTTAGATTTGATTTGATTTAATTAACACTAAGATGAATGACTTAAATGAGTTTAATTAATGAGAAGAAGACTTGGCTTTGCTTTTATCCACTTAATGAAATGTTCGTCGATCCCGGTTATATCTTTAACTATCTTCCTCTCGAATACTCAATCGAGGAGTATATCCAGTTCATCGAGGGTAGTTATTAATAACGAGAAGCGTTCATTAATAAAACTTACTATCGAGTCAATATAGAACAAGCGCCGTATATTAACTTGATAGTAGCAATAAACTTAAGATGAAAACGATTGAGATTGATAACCTCAACACAAGCGGTTTATTGGTTTAATCAATATAATTAATTCCCCTTAGATTATTAACCATGAGATGCATGCATTAATAATCCAAGTTTACTACCATGAAAGGACCGAATTAATAACAAGCGTATTAATCGACCGATTCTAGTATTAATTAATATATGAAACAAAACTAGTTGATCCTTTAAGTAATGTTCAAAATATTAATATGAAATATGAATAGGAATTAATTAATACTCAAGAAAGAATATTAAAGAAGATGAATCCTACTATAGTTAATATCAAGATGTTAACTAATTGTCATCTTAGTAACACTCCCCAATATTAACGTAGAGGAAGAAATAATTATTACTATAACTATGTCAAGATGTTAACTAATTGTCATCTTAGTAACACTCCCCAACATTGATATAGAAATAGTATTTAAAGGAAGAATTAATATTCAAGGAAGAAGATTAAAGAGAATAACTCACAACTTACAAATTCATTAAGCTTCAAAGTAGCAAAACCAAGATGGAAGAGTTTAGCTCCTCATTTGGAGACTAAACATGATAGAAAATATAAAGAAAACACTAATCTAAACTGAGCTAAAGAGTATATGTGAATTGGTGATTTTATTGTGAAGGAAAGGGGTGTATTTATAGGCTTTTGGGAGCTGCAGGGTCTGATACCCGATCGGGTATATAGGATACCCGATCGGGTATCTTAGGAAATTGCCCAGAAAGTCGCTTTTCTGGGCATACCCGATCGGGTATGTCAGCATACCCGATCGGGTATGTGACAAATCTTCACGAAAATCTTCTCCCACGATCATTTGTTCTCGGATTTGATTTGGACAATCGAATCAAGTAAATACCCGATCGGGTATAGGCAATACCCGACCGGGTACATGAGTATTTTCTCCAAATCGAAATCTTTCTTGTCTCCTTGCACTTTCCTTGATCTTTTAAGGTCCAATCTTGATCCCTTGGATGATCTTTGACCTGTTTAGCTCAGAAAAATCCTAATCTAACTAAATTACAAATAAAAATGAAAATAAAGTATTACACCAAAAGTGTGTAATTTCCACAACTACAACTAATAAAAATTAGTTAAAAATACAAACATACAATCGGAAATTACATGAATATCAGTAACGTACCATTTTTAATAGACTTCAGTTAAGAAATCACAATAGTGGTTGTTATGTAGAGCCCATATGATAGCTGAATTGCTAAAGTTATACTAAGAAAAGGCTGAACTGATTTAATATGGTGAATTTAAAAAATGTGTAATAATAATTTTAAATTTTATAAATAAAATAAAATAAAAAATTATGTAAAAAAAGTCAAAATTATGTTATTTAGCAAATGAAATCAGAAAAGTAAATTCAACTTTGTCTGTTCTAATTTTATTTAGGTGAAATTCATGAGAATAATGCTACTTTTACAAATTCTACAATAACAATCCCTCAGACTGTTTACAATAATAATCCGAACTAGCAAAGATGTTCATAGGATTAAATTGGGGTGAATTCAAATTAATGTCGGTTCAATACTTTTAACTCTTACCCTCACTTTTCTCCTCCATACTCTTCTTTTCGGGACAATTTCAAATTAAAACCCGTTTAATATTAACATCATTTTCGTCATATGTTGTTCTTTCTTGGTTGAAACTTAAAACTTGAATCAAGACGGGGACTGGTGAATTGAAAAGTGAAAATAAGGATTGAAAGTATTAAATGAGCATTAATTTGAATATATTGTAATTTATTCTTATGAACATTATTGTTAGTACAGATTATTTTTATGAATATTTTCATATTATCATTGCAGAACTTATAAAAGTAGGAATTATTCTTGCAAATTTCACCTTTTATTTATTACTACGTATATAATTTAATGCGTGAAATAAAAATTTAGAATTGGTTAAAAAGGGTTCCTAAGATTGATGATCCACAAAGGTAATCTCATCAAGTGGCAATCAAATCACTAGATGCTTACCCCAAGCATCTTTAGTATCAGGGCCACCTTTTTTTGTGTCACAATGAAAGCTGCATTCTGCCTCCATTGAAAGTGGATTCATGGATCATTAGTTATATTACACATGCATTTACTGTGTATAAAACCCCAATAAAACACATTCTTCAACATTCCAATCTGTAACTACTCAAGTTTGATAAAAACCTTTGTTTGTCTTGTACACACAAAAAATGTATTCAAATTTATAAACACCTCTATGAACAATTTTTGCATTGATGCAAATAATGCATTGGACTATCTGCATGTCACTCTACACATGAGTAGTTGAGTAAAGCGACTAGATCTCTTATGGAACTCAATAGACTTATGTTAATAACATGCAATGCATTTTCATTATGAATTTACCATTATATAAAGGGAAAAGGTGCAAATAGGGCCCATGTACTAACAAAAAAAGTCAAATAAGCCCTTATTTAGGAGGTTCTGTCCGGCCGTCGCCATTTTGGGTGGTTCCCGTTGTAATTTTTTGATGAAATTTTTTGAGCATCTTATTCAATAACTCTAGTTTACTCATACCAAATTTCGGCTGAAACTTCGATCGGAAAGGCATTCAAATAAATTCTTGAAAATAACTGCGCAGTTATCTTCACGAATTCATTTGAATCCCTTCCCGATTGAAGTTTTAGCTGAAATTTGGTATGAGTAAACTAGACTTGATGAATAAGATGCTCAAAAAATTCCACCGGGAACCACCCCAAATGACGACGGCCGGACAGAGTCTCCTAAATAAGGGCTTATTTGACCCTTTTTGGTTAGTATATGGGCCTATTTGCACCTTTTCCCTTATATAAATGTTTGTCCATGATTCTGTCACATAAATTATTGAGCTTACCTAATCGAGCCACTTAATTTTTCCCAGTTAAAATATACATACGAAGACGGTTATGAGGTTTATTGATAAAAAACCTTAATAATACAGGAGTCACGAAAGATGGTTTAGTTCGGCACTTTTTTCATAGACCATCCAAAGCTTATACTACTGGCACGAGAAAGAGAAGAAAAGTGCAGACAGAGGCTGATGGGAGCGAAACGCGGTGGCACAAAACCGGTAAGACCAGACCAGTACTGGTGAAAGGCAGGATGAAAGGGTACAAGAAAATATTGGTGTTGTACACAAACTATGGGAAGCAACGGAAACCCGAAAAAACCAATTGGGTGATGCATCAATACCACCTAGGAGATGATGAAGATGAGAAAGAAGGAGAGCTTGTTGCATCAAAGATTTTCTACCAAACACAACCTAGGCAATGTAGTGGTTCCATCAGTAAGGATTCTCTTCTACCTCTGGGCATGGCTAATGAGGGTCACGAAGCTGCCGGACGAAATGGCTCTAATTTTAGGGAGGCAACAATGATGGAATCATTCAATCCAACTCTTATATCATTTGGTCAATATAACCATGATCATACAACTGCTAGACTCCTACCAAGTTTTAATATCCATGACACTCCTTTTATTCCCTGATCACAAAACAACCTAAGAAGATCAATTTGATAGCAGGTTCCATTCAAACAACTTTACCCAAATGCTATGACGATTGTATATTTAACAAGTATCAACACATACATACTCTCCGATTCTCTTTTTTTCTTTTTTTGTAACAAAAGTATACACAGATGATTTGGTCTTCAAGCTAAGTTAACATAGCTTGAATATATTTAATTAGTGGGGTTATAAGCTAGCTGGGATAGAGTTAAGAGTAAGAGCACAACAGATTTAGCTTCTAATGATGGAGGTTAGAGCTCACCCTAATCCTAATAGAGTATAACCTGATTAATTAAAGCATGTCTTATATTACTTTATACAGTAATGCAGATGTAATACAAATACAATGTACACTGATCAGGATATGATCAATTCGCTACGAAGTTATTGTAAGTGATTGAATTCAATTGTAAAAGTATAAAGATACTCCATTTAATAAAATCTGAAGCGTTGTACGGTTTTAATGTTTTATTTTGTTCTTATGTGTTTCTTCTTTTAGTAAACTAGCTTCCATTCTTGGGAGAAACACCGATAGTAGGAATGGGCCTCACACCATGTATAAATGATATCTCATTGTTAGTTTTGAAAGCATGGTGGAGACTGGAAACCGTTACAGTTTGGCATTAGAGCAGATAATTATGAAGTTAGTCCCGCAAATGGCAGAGCTTGGGCATAACCAGCACTATTAGGTTTCAGTTACCGTTATGAATAAGAGAATCCAATGATGAAAAAACAGTCCTAACAGAAGTAATAACCGGTGTAGGGGTGGGAAGTGGTTTTCTCTTCAGCTCCCTCATATTAGTACTCCATTACAATGTTCATATTGCTTCACTTGCATTTTTCATTCTCACTTTCCTTTTATGGATGCCCCTATTTAAATCCTCTTTCCTTATTTGTTAAACAACTTTCTATCAATTTACTCTACTACCCTTAAGTACTAATGACAAAACAGGGTCAAACAGGACCGGCCGGTTATGGTCCCCAAAATCCCTAACCAGGACCGGCGCCATTGGGGGCAGTTCCGGCGCCAGTCTTCAACCAAAACCGGAAAAAACATGTCCGGGCCAGGACCATGGACCAGGTCCATGCCTGGAGGTGAGTAGGAAAACTTGGAAACACCAAAAACAAGTTTAAATGATCAAATTTAAAAAATCTTGCAGATTCAATATCTTTTAGAATATGTTGCTTAGACCTTTATTAGAAAACTCAAAGTTGAGTTTGAACAAAAAAAAGGTACAACAATGAACAAGAATAGCAATAGAATTATACAAAGCAACTTAAAATATGGCATTTCGTCTGTACAATAAGAAGATAAGGACCTTTTCAGATGTGAAACTGTTTGCTTCATTATCGTTTAGACGATCTGTTCATTATGTTGGACAGTCTGCAGGGCAATCGATATTCTCTGTACTTCTGTACCGAAAATCAGCCATAAAAATACTATCAGACCTAGGATAATAAGCTCAATAAGACAATGAGCAGTCAGTTAAATAATTCTCAGTGTCATATTGCTATAACAACAATCATACATTGCACGGTTGCACCAGGGCAAAGCTCTAGCATTATCAGTGTTGAAGAATGAAGGCTGGTTTAATATCACTCCCCTTCTCTGTTACCAGTTCCCATCACTTTAAAAGAGGGCAGCCCGGTGCACGAAGGCATTGCAGGGACAGGGGAAGGGCCCCAGAGACTTGTCTTTCAGAGAACAAGTGAAATGTTAGGACTTAGGCTTAGTCTAGTAATGCGAAACGAAGTAGTTCATTGGTAACTGAATCCATGTGTAATGTAAATTTACACCAGAAATATATCTCGACTACATTTAATTACATGTTATCTACACCTTATCTTCACATAAAATTCTCACAAATCTTTCAATTAGTCAAAGTTTTTCCTTCAAGCATGGATAAGGATGCATTGAGAACATATAAGTAAAGATACATTTCTTAATAAAATAGGCAGTGGTAGCTAACCTACCCAACCACACCATGGCAATAATTTCAAACTGACGCTCTTAACAGAAAGCTCAAGCGAAAAGAAAGATTGAAAATTGAAAAGCTTCTCACTTGAAAATTAGATTGAGAAAAAAATAGGAAGCTCGCCTGAAATAAAAATTTGATCTTGAAGATTATGGTTTCTTCTTCTTCCGGAGTATATATACGTCGGTCTCCTCGTAAGCATACTCTGGGTGCAAATGCTCGTGAGGAACTTTCTGGACATCGAAAACCTCCGGGCAGAGCTCCCAGAACATCTTGTGTGCCTCGGGAGATCTAAGCTGGTAGCCAAGCAAAACGACGCCGTCTTCCTTGAGAAGAGATTCCATGGCAGTGATGAGAGGGCCCACCGTTTCCTCCAGGTAAACCACGTCAGTGGCGATGACAAAGTCGAAGAGCTTTCCTAAGGCCCTAATCTGCTCCTCCTTGTTCCAATACAAAACAGCCGTTTTCAGGGATTTGTTCAAAACTTGCTTGTTTCGCTTCAGGTTGTGCTTTAGGGCCGGCATGACGGGGGAGATGTCGGTGAGGACGACGTCGTTGAGGCCCAATAAGAATAGGCCCATAGCGGCGATTCCGCAGCCAGCTCCGAGCTCGACGCCGCTCTTGTTTCTAAAGTCGAGGAGATCGGAGTAGGGGTTGTCAGCGGCAGCGTACGCCGACGGGTGCCAGCGCTCGGCGAACTTAACGACGACGAGTGAGCATGGCCAGACGCTGGTGCCCACATGCATCGAGCCGTTGTCTTGCTGAACAGAGAGTTTCTTATCCAGCACCGTAAGGTCGATCACCGGCGAATCTGTGAACTTCATCGGTAAAACCTCCGGTGGCTCTGAAAGAAATGGTGCGTTTTAAACTTTGAGATTCAGGCCCAGAAAGTTGGTAACGTAGCAAAAAAATTATATGTAATTTTTTTTGGTAGATTGTAGGGTACTCGTAAGTTATTGCACCTTTGTCCACATGAACCAATCAGAATGTTGCAGATGAATTATTAAATCTAAATTAAAATTGATATAATGATTTGGACCAATCTAATAAATGGTAGGTACGGTACTCCATTTTTTAAATGAGTACCAGAGTTGTCGCCAAATTTTTTATCTCTTTTGCACAATTTTAGGTAGACACACAATTCCCAAATTCTTAATATTTGTGCCTAAGTTAAAACAAGAGTTCATTATGGAAAGGAAGGAGTAGCTCCTCAAGGCGGCCAAATATACCATTTTATTTCTAATTGAGTGTGTTTGGAACAGATTCTGCTTCTTTTTCAAGGTCGAAGCAGAATCAGAATCAGTTTTCAGAAGCCAGTCACCTCTAGCTTCTAAAAAATTGATTCTAGAAATAAATTAGAACACCATAATCACTTCTGCACTTTCATCTAAAGTTCCAAACACTTCAGTTTCTGCTTCTGCTCCCTGAAAGAAGAGAAGAATCAGATCCAAACACTGAATAAAATTGTCTATATTGAAATAGTCCAATCATGTAACGAGCAAATAAAAGCTTATGTTGGGCATGAGGCTTCCATGTTCCTAATACGATTTGAAAAACATACAATCCCTCTACCACGAATGAAACACATGGACAAGGAATAACGAAGAGTACACTAATGTGAGAAATATTAAAAAATAAATAAATACGATACTAATAAAGTAAAAACGAGCCATTAATTTCCAGCTAAACAGTGCCCTTGTTTGGTTCTATAGGACTTGCAAATCTGTCCAACGTGTCTGAAAAGCAACGATGTTTTATTCCGAATTGATGCACATCGGAATTAATACCAGATATTCGTGAGGGGCGCATAGGCGGAGCCAGACATTTAGGGTTAAAGGGGTCGGTCCTTAACAATTTTACATTGCAGAGATCAAAGTTTAAAATATCAACATACTTTTTACATATTAAAAGTATTTATATATAACACATACTCAAAAAAAAATTCCTTGCAGGAGCCGTGCCCACCTCTAGCCCCTCCCTGTCTCCACCCTGAGGGGGCGAGTCATTGGTGTCATCATAATTGGATCGAGGGGAATGATGAACTTTGAAAAACATAGATCTAGAAGTGAAGGAATGTCTTTGATAGCAAGTGAAAATAGTATAGCATCATGTGGCAACTTACATTGCTGATCTGAAATGAACTCACCCATAAAACAATTGTCGAAATTCACACCTAGAAGAATCTTAAATACACTAGAGAATAAATCACGGCTCATTAGAGGATTTAGAGCTTCAAATAACCTTTTTATGTTATACTAGCACCGTACCCGTGCGTACGCACGGAAAACGGATGATCTATATATACTTCTATTCACGATTTAATTAAATATAAAAATAAATTCTTTTTACAATTTTACACCATTTCAAAAATGAGTAGAATAAGTGAGTAAAAACTTTAAATCCATACAACAAATGTGCAAAGTAAAAGAAAATTAAAATATAAAAAAATCAACAACATCCATTAGAATTTGTTACGTAAGATGTAGTAATAATTAGTATTGTTGGTAACGGATAATAAAATATTGAACTTAATTGTTAGAATTTTGACAAACCACTTTAAAGAGAACTTTTAGTGGTAGTATCTTCTTATGTTTTTATTCTTGTCATACACGTAATATTAAAATCATCAATCCATGTTTTCTAAAACCTCGATAATCATGACTGAGCCAGGATTTAGTAATGGGGGGGGGGGGGGAAGAAGTAAGACAAACAATAAAGAGAAAAATTTCCTTGGTAGCGGAAATTTTTTCATATACTCCGTATAAAATACGTCTAGATACCGTTCAATTATGAGTCTGGTATCTTCTTATACATAAACGCACTACATATGAGGGAGAAAATTCTTCATCTAAATTATTAGTTCGCTTATCTTATAGCTAAAAGAACTACTTTTTGTGAGAAAGATAATTCTTTCGTTCAATTATTAGTCCGCTTATCTCATACCTAAAAACATTACATATGAGTTAATAAATTGTAAAAAAAAAGTCTGCTTATTACATCTAAAAGCACTACACATGAGAGAGAGAGAGAAAATCTCCCGCTTTCAATTATTAGTCCGTTGATCTTATACCTAAAAGCGGTACGTCCGAGAGAGAAAGTTTTTCTGCTCATTTATTAGTCCGCTTATGTTATATAAAAAGCACTACATATGCCTGGGTAGGAATATTTCATCCTTTTTTAGTGATAGTAGAGCTTATTATTTATTGATTGTCATGACATAGGTGATATTTATAGAAAAATGTCTTCTCATATGTTTCAAAGGTCATGAGAGAGGAAATTCTCTCGATCAATTATTAGTTTGCTTATTGTATACCTAAAACCACCACATATGAGAGAAAATTTCCCCGCTCAATTATTAGTCAGTATATCTTATCTTATCTTCTTATACTTAAAATTAAAGCATTACGTATGCGAGAGAAAATTCTCCCGCTGAATTATCAGCACGCTTATCTTCTTATATCCAAAAGCATTTCGTATGAGAGCGAAAATACTTCCCGATCCATTCAATTATTAGGTTGTTTATCTTATCTGATCGTATACTAATGTGAGGGGAAATTTTCCCGCTGAATTATTAGTCTGTCTATCTTCTTATAGTAAACACACTACACATAAGAGAGAAAATTCTTCGGCTCAATTATTTTTATTGTCCAAAACATATAATATGTTTTGTTTTTAATATTAAGGCCATAAAAATGTTTTAAAGGGAAATCATTTCCTATATGGATGTGTTTATTTGACCAATAAATTGTATTAATGTTATCTTTTATGGATAAATTTTGTTCTGGATGCATTGAGAAACCTGATTGTTGGAAACATAAAATAAAGAGCTATGCTTGGTGTACCCCATTTGTACATCACCTATTGTGTGGTTCACAAAATCCTACTACCTCTGTAACGTAAATATGTTTCCATTTCAAAAAGTAGATAGAGTATGAATAGTGAAGAGAGATATAAATTATTGAGGGTATGATACGAAGATAGTGGAATAATGTGATGGAATGTAGGATAAATCCAAAAAAGTAGTTGTAATAGTTTATTATTTTAAAAATTATTGAGGGTGTGATGGAATATTTAGAAATGAGAATATATAAATGTTACAACCAAAAAAGGAAAGTGGGAAGATATGAATGTTACGGAGGTAGAATCATTTAAATGAGTTGCCCTGCCCCATTGAAGCCACACAATAGGGGTGAATACAAATGAGATCGAAAAATTTTCCGCTCATTTATTAGTGCACTTATCTTAGGTAGGAATATTTCATTTTTTTCAGCTCAGTGATAGAGCTTGATATCTATTGATTGTCATGACACATGTGATAAATATGGAAAAATGTCTTGTCATACGTTTAAAAGGTCATAAAAGAGAAAATATGAGGGAGAAATTATTAGTTTGTATATCTTATTTTATCTACTTAAAAACACTACGTATGAGAGAAAATTATATCGTTCAATTATCAGCACTCTTATCTTACTATCTCTGAAAGCACTATGTATGAGAGATAAATCCTCTCGTTCAATTAATTGTTACATTCGAATAATTAGATAGCTTAGAATAAAATTACACTAATTTTATCAGTTTTATTCATTGTTTTAATCTTTGCGCTAGAATTTTTGCAATTTTACTTTAAGCTATCACTCCGGACTAATAGTGTGCACGGGAAAAATGACCTTAAACTACACAAATTAATAGAATTTTTATATATATCCAATATCGGTGTCATATGAAAGATTGAAATAAGTTAATAGAAAATCTTTAAATTAAGTAAAAATTACTTCGTGTATTGTAGTTGCTGAATTTTTTAGAAGTAGAAAGAATATACAAATTACAGACTTGTATATTCTACAGAAAGAAATCAAGAATATACGGATTTATAATGAACACGTGGTCCTGGTACAAACTACATAATATGATATGGAGTAGGTTTTATCTTTTAGAATTACTATTATCTTTATTAGAAAGAAGAAAAATGGAGTGAATAGTAATCAATGCAGAGAAAGAGTCGGGTGGTTGTTTTTTGCTTCAGTTATTACAAAAAAAAACTCAATTCCTTTGAAAGAAGCAGCCACGTGGCAGAATGCAATGAAAGGAAAAAGTTCAGGAGAGAGTGACACATCAGATTAATGAAGGATGTAATTGTCTTTTAAGGAGCTATTTATTTTCTTATATTTCTTATATATAAAATATAAATAGAAATAGACTCACTCTCGTTAATGCAATCTCCAGTTTCAAAATCTAATTTTTTTTTTCTTGTCAAACTAACCATAGAGCAAGAGAGCTCTCACCAGGGGTATGTACCATTTTATTGATAATAATTACTTGGTGAAATTCATAAGAATAATATTTACTTTTAGGAATAATTACTTGGACACACTGAGCACACCATCTAATCAATTTCAACTGTATATATCTTTTGTAAAAGGTCAAATATATCTTTCTACTATTTTCAGGCATTCAACTCTTCATTTATGTCCCTCACTAAAAAGTATCACTTAAACTTGTTTACTTTAAAAGCACATTCAATCAAGTCATCTTAATGTGCTATATCCACTATTTTAAAAAAAGTTAAAACAATTGATTGCTCTGAAAAAACTCTTATAAATTTGAAGAATAATGTAATACGAAGTCGTAATATAAAAATAGTATAAGTTGAAAATGTATGTATATAAAATTAAGAGAATGAAAAATAAAGTGAGTGTAACAATATAAAATTAAAACGTAATAACTTTAAAAAAGATGTAGACTATACAAGTAATTAAAAAAATGAAATAGTTTAAACTTTGACACTCTTAAATCATCCATACATCTTTATTTATTTTTCTTCAAATTTCTACAAAGTTTAAAGCTATTCAATACAAAAATATCTACTATTAAGAGCCCGTTTGGAGACCCCATTCT